AACTTTATATGAAGACCTAATACTGGCCTGTGCTATTCCTGGAGTCCCGTCTTTTGTCATGTATATTCACTTCAGCCAGCAATCTATGATTCATCCGCCATCCTTGTATATAAGGCAGCTATTATTCTGCTGCCATTTTCATTCATTAGAACGTCTTATTTGAGTGACAGATTTGTCTAGATCATTATATCACTCTCTTGATAAAACTGATTGTGACATTAGCAAATTTGTCGAGCCTTTTACGAGTCTGAGTTGATCTTTATTCGTAACAAATTGATCCAGTAAGGGAGTCGAGTTCGAGCCCTAACGAGCTAAATTCGAGCCTTATTAAACCAAACTACAGAATTGTATCAAATTACTCCTTTCAAACTTAACGAGTCAAGTTGAGCTTAACTCATTAATTAATATAGCTTTAAATGAGTTCGAACTCGACTAATTTGATGTCTCGTTAATGAATCAAGCTTTAAACGAGCTTGAGCTCTAATAAATCGAGCGAAGCTCACGAGTGACTCATTTTGTTCAACTCCTTATAGAACAAGAAGTTGGTCCCTTGTCGTGCCATGATGACATGTAACAATTTCGATAAGATTTAAGAATCGAGATCATATGAGCGTAGTGTAGCTATTACACATTTTATGTACATAAAGTCGCAGCATGACCCTCTTATTGGGAGAACTTTGAAATAGAAGAAGGAAGATGTGAAGAAAATGTGAAGTGGGTCTAAGCCTGAAGCCCTTTGGCAGCCAAGAGAGCTCTCAAAGCCTCATTCTTTTCAGTAGAATCTCTAAAAGAAGCTCGCCTTCCATGCCCTGAAATTGATTTAACAGTGGAAATTATGCTTAGTTCACCAGAGGCTATCAACTCGTATCCGCAGTCAGAACATCTTCTATCATTACAGTGAAAGCGTAAAGATAAACTATTCCTTCTTAGATTCAATTAAGTTTGCTGAACAGATGTTTCCAACATATATATAACTCGATATGGGTAGTTCATTAATCGAGCAACCCACCACATGGTGATGAAGTTTTGCAAGTTCTTCACGGAAACATAAATATAACTCGATATGGAAGTAAGTTCTTTAATCGAGCAACCCACCACATGGTGATGAAGTTTTGCAAGTTCTTCACGGAAACGTAAATATAACTCGATATGGAAGTAAGTTCATTAATCGAGCAACCCACCACATGGTGATGAAGTTTTGCAAGTTCTTCACGAACCAGATTAATCGAAGTCATGATGCTACAAAATTAAAATTTACAAGTACATATCATGAAAGACCACAATCACAACAGGAAAAAGCAAAACTAATAGACAAAGGAGATAGGGGAGCCTCTTTAACACAAACTATCATCGAGCATAAGGTTCTATACTATATCGTCCTGCATATAGTTTAACCACTTTAGACATAACAACGCCAAATCAGATTGGAGAAATTCTCAGGATGAAAAACATGAGAATTGAACTCAATTCGAAGACACTCAAGGAATCTAAGATGTATGGCTTAACTCTCAAAAACTGACAGGTATCCACTTTTTTCTGTCGGGACGAAATTGTACCAAAATATACATTTAGAAGACAAGCAAATAAAATGGAGCCCCGCTGTTATCTGCTACGTTTAAATGGGTTCGAATACTCACCTGGTAGTATCCATTCAAAATCCAACTCAAGCAACTTTAGAACACTGTTCAACTGCACGGAAACTGATAAGCAGGAGGAAGTAGGCATTAAATAAGAAATAATCTAGATAAAAGGCTGTGACATAAATACCCAAGGAGGGGAACTAATTTCTCTTCTGATAACATAAATATATATCATCATCATCAACATCATCAACATCAGTATTATATTCCCAACAGGTTGGGGTCTGGGGGGTCAATTGTACGCAGACCTTACCCTTATAATTATACAAGGAGGCTGTTTCCATAACGACCCAAGGTGCGTTGCGTCGTTTGATATATTTTTTTCTAGAAACTTCACTAATAGAAGAAGCACTAGAATTTAATTGAGCCATTTTGATCTAGTCCATTATTTGCACTATGCCAGGAGAATTGTCAACAATGACAAACAATGACACTCTTCCAGCTCTATATGCAATGGAAATATAAATAAATATATATCATCCAAAAAAAAAAAAATTGAAAAAAGATTGCCAAAAGGGTTCTTGACACGTCCACAATGAGATCTGAAAAGCAAAGAAGGGGCTGTTCTTGATACTTGTTTGATTCAAAACTGTAGGTCAATTACATAACACTTGACCATCTTAGTAACCATGGTTTCTATGTTCAAGCAATGGGCATGGCTGATAAAGTGGAATCACCTGAATACCAGTTATAGTTTTCTGATATACTCAATCCAAATTCGTCCATCAAGAGATGGTCCCCTGTAAAAAGAACCTTCCTCGTTTTGTCAAACAAGCAGACTGATCCCTGCCATCATAATTCTGATAATCAGATTCACGCCGAAATATTTTAGCATGAGCCAAAAATTACGGACGGAGCACAACATAGGTCAACGACAGAGAATATAGTTAGCATCTAGCTACCATGATAATCCAGCAGATCATTATTATTAATTAATACAAAGTTTAACAATATGCTCACTTCTGTATGGCCTGGGGTGTGTATAAGGGTGATATCACTGCCAATGGGCCATGGCCCACTCCCCTCTAGCTTGATCTCCACATCAGCTGTAGAGTGAGACACCTGGTGATAACAGATATAGTGAAGTGATGGAACTCTGAATCGACTGAACAAATCCCATGTGGAGATTTATAAGATGTGGGGCAACCAGAGGCGTCAAACATGCTCTCACAGTCACTCCAATAAAAGGATTACATGCATATATAATGATTTATGAGCACATATTATATAATAAATAACAAAAGGAAAAGAATAACCACACATGACAATATTCCAATTGTTACAGAATATTAAGATAAACTGAAGCAAAAGGCAAATACTAATGTCATGTATATCTGTCTTGTCTCTCACTGCATGCTTCCAAGCCATATCTTTTCTACAGTAATTTTCAATAATATTCTACCAAATTGAAAAGGGAAAGAACATTACAGCATTAAAAAGTAGAATCCTAAAATCACAAACCACAGTCCAAAAAAATAAAATAAAAAATCACAGCCCTCACTCCCCAACCAAAAAATAAAAATAAAAATCTTACCACTTATCATGATCTTACCTCATTTAGATGCAGAGAATCCTAAAATTTTACCTCATATGTAGGTGCAAATGTTAAGAAGAGAAATCCCAACTTACCTCATTTACATGAAGAATCCTAGCACAACCCAGCTCTTTTGACCACTTATCATGATCTGCAACATCATCCCTGAAAACCAGCAGTATTAATAATTTTCAAATGAAAAATGTATCAATTTTGATGAATATTCACTCGTTTAGCATACCTGTGGGTGAGAAACATGACGGAAGCTCCACCCATTTTCTTTATACTGTTGGCTAATCTCTTTGTGTATCTAGGACTACAACATAGAAATTAATATGATTAGTCATATGACACAATATATTTGAAAACATTCCTTCTCCACCTTTTACAAAACTAGTAAAGTGCACGTGCACCACGTGTGGTGCAGAATGTTTTTAACCGATTCAATTTAGTAAAATTAATTAACTAATTTATTAAACATATATTGCATGAACGAAGTAAAATATAGGACAAATAAACTTCTATTTTTTTTTTTTAAACAACATAATGATGCCCAAATATAAATAGAATGAAATAACATATTACAACCCCAAGAAAAATACAGTTCCTAATGGAAAAAAAACACCAATCAACTAAATAAGAACTTAATGTATATTATAGATGCATAGTTATTTATTTAATTATGTTAGATGGTTAGAGAGTGACTTTCTTTCATTTCGTTTTGACGTTTTCATAAGAAACATCCATTCGTTGGAGCCCAAATACTTCAATAGTACTGCAAATTCGTATCTGACAAATTTATTCAAACACTTATAAATATTTTGGCTAATATGGTCAAATTTCTTGATTGTACGATCTTTATAAGGTACTTCTACTAACAGTTCATGAATATCTTTGGAAAATAACCAACCGTATCATTAAATTGTTGATATATTATTATTTTTTTTATCATTGTATAAACAACTTCATTACTATGTCCATACTATGTCCATATAGAAAATTTATACCTACCCCATGTAGGCATTGCCCCACGGGATGAAAATGAATTTCGTCTCCAAATAAAAGTTAACTTTCCAAAATTTTGGTAAGCATGTATTTCTCTCGAGACGCTAAATTAATTTTTGAAATCCTCACACTACATGAAAGTACGTAATTTAAAATAAGTGCACATATGCTCGAGCAAAACACACAATGAGACTGTAAATATTCCTGTAAAAAAAGGACAGTTTCATTCAAATATTCAATAATATTTTGATCAGGCTTCGACATTTTTTTTTCAATGTTATTTATTTAGAAAACAAACGAACTATATAATCTATTGTTTGCAAATCATTGACCATCTTGGTTGTTGCAATGATTTTAGCGTTGTTTATCATATATAATATCTTTCACATTTATTCGAATTTGCAGTACTTATGTGTCTAATAACTTCTTCAATGATTTTATTGTTCAATTTTTTTGCTTCATACAAAATGCTTCGAAATGAAAAAAAAAAAAAAAACGATGAGACAATATTAAGAAATATATAATTTGTTAAAATATTTGAAAAGAGAATAATTAAAATTCTATTGTATTATGATACTTTTAGCCGCTTTGTGAACTTTATTATTACCATGTTATTATTATAATTTACGTTATATATTAATTATTTAAAATAATAACAAAAAGGTAGTAATTTTAAAACACTTTTGTTTCTAGATATTGGTATTCACATTTCTCTAAGAAAATTCAAACTTTTTCTTTTCTCATTGAATTACTATCGTTCCATTTGTTTTTATTATATTTACAATAATATATTTTTGTTAAAAGAATTAGAGTGCATTTATATGTATTGCTTCATTTTTTTGTACGTACTTTATATAATGACGTTGTAATCAAAATATCTTATTTATTAGGCTACAATTAATATAATCAAATACGATAAATACTATTTAATATTACTTATTTATTTATTTATAATAATTATATATTTAACTAAAATGTACTTTTATACTGGTTATAAGAGTAAAAAGTTTATATTTTTCCATTGTTTGATAAAATATTAAGTAATTAACTCATTTTCGGAAACACTGAAAATACAAGTTATATTTTACAACCATTATGGTGTTCCTTTTATGCAGTAACAGAATAATTGTTTAAAATACAACTCATTTATTTCTCTTTTTAATTTGCATACTTAATGTTGGTAATAGTCATGTCCATTGCAAATGGAGCTGGAAGAGTCATTGTTGACAATTCTTCTGGCATAGTGCTAATAATGGACTAGATCAAAATGACTCAATAAATTCTAGTGCTTCTTCTATTAGTGAAGTCTCTAGAAAAAAAAAATATACCAAACGACGCAATGCACCTTGGGTCGCTACGGAAACAACCTCCTTGTATACTTTAAGGTCTGCGTACAACTGACCCCCCAGACCCCAACCCGTTTGGGAATATACTGGATCCGAACCAAACAATGTTGGTAATAGTTGTAAGTTTACATCTATTTTTTACGTTTTTCTTATTTGCATGAATATTTCAGATCTATGTAAGCAAACTATAGCACAAATTTATCTTATGCTTTTTTCATACTTAATAAAATTTGTTTAACATGGATTTGTAATTTAGTTTATAAGATACTTTTAGGTCCATTTATTATTCTAAATTAGTATTGATATATATATATATATGTGTGTGTGTGTGTGTGTATTATTTTATATCGATAGAAATAAGTATATTATTTTTATTTTATTTACAACACATTATTTAAATAAAAGTCACTGGAAAGAAATGGTGTGATATATAAAGTATAAAAAGGATAATAAATAAATAAATATTAAGTATTTCAAAATTAAAATTTTAATGGTACACAGTGGCGAAATTTGTAACTAAAAAAATTAAGACTACCATACCAAAGTTTATGCCAAAAATATATATTTATATGTACTTAAAAGTTCTAGTTAAAATAAATGTTTATCTTGAATATGTTTATATTTTCCATTAGTCAACTCAACTTGATACATGACATTAATTAATTTTATCACTTTTTTTATTTATGGATTGAATGCTAGCTATATGTTTTCTCATTACCTAGTCTTACATTTTTATAACATAGAACATCATTCTTACTTCTGGTTTAGTTACTATAATACTACTAAAAATTAAAGACTTTTCAACCTAGATGTATTTTGTTTGTTTTGAAAATATTACTAATTATCATAAATCAAATAAAATTACATTAAATGTGTTATATTTTCTATCATTATTAAAAAATTTCATAATAATTAGTTGCATGCAATATTATATGTAACGTAAATTTTTTACTGATTTACAGCCCTACTTTTACTACAATAAAAATGATGAAATTTCAAAGGAAAATTTCAAGGAAATAATATTACAGTGCAATTAAATCTATATATGAATTAATAATAAAAATAGAATAATATTATGATTTTTATATTTTAATAATTACTATTATGTCCATATATATATATATATATATATATATTATATCATGTGTTTTTTTTATTATTTATTTTTTTCATCTATCCTACTTGATACTCTATTTTTCGAATAAGACATTTGAGTAGTTTTATATGTCATGTTATTTTTTCATGCAAATTTTATATAACTATGTTATATCAAATTTGTTTATTATGGCATGTAGTTATGTAATTAGTAATATGAAAATAATATAAATTTAAAATTGTAACGAATTTATACAATAATACTTCTTACTTAATAATGTATGTTATGAAATTGAGGATAGTACTTCCCCTACATTTTTATTTGTTCCACATATTTTGGAATTATTTTATATCAATTCAATCTTATTGAAATAGTTTGCATTTCCTTTATTATTTTTTCATTTATTGATAAGTTAATACTTTTTTTACCTATTAAAATCTTTTTTTTTTAGGTTTTATTTATTAAAGAGTTTTTTCCTTGTTAGAATCCCATTTTATTAAAATATTTAATTGTGATTATATTCATTGAGATACTTAATAGTTATTACAATTTTTTCATAAAAATAATGCAAATATAAAGACGTTTTTTAGTCCGTGCAATTTTTACAAAATCATTCCTCCTTTTATATATTAGTATAGATATAGATATTTTCTTGATCCATAAAGAATAACCATATGTCTGTTAAATTGTTCAATCATTTAATAAAAAAGCAATAAGGACCATTGTCTGTTTTTTTGTAATTGATGATTCATCGCATACTATTAATCACATGTCGCACGATAACCCAATAAGTTAACTTATTCTGACACAATACATTATCTTATTATTTTGTAGTTATAGTTATTAATTAATCTATCATGAATAGTAT